CTCCGTAGTTATATTTATAGCTTTTATTTTCGAGTTTCTCTTTTAGGTAGTTTGTTCTTTTATACTTTGAGCACGTTTTTGATTTTAGTGTAATGGATGTTAATCAAAATTTTTATTACGCTTCCGCATTTGACCTTTTTAATACACATATTTTATTTAAAATTCCAGGGCCGTTACACATATTAAATGGAGACGGATATAAATAACCCTTTTCACACCAAACCCTAACCTTAGCCGCCAGACACTTTCGCCGGAGAAGAAGACCCAGCCGCCAGGAAAGAGAGCTGCTGCCACCTGCCGCCGCACCGGAGCTACTTCCGACCGCCAAAAGAGGTAAAAAAATTTTGTTTGCTCAAAATTCAATTTTAAACACTTCATGGCCAAATTGGGAGCAAAAGAACTGGCCGATTGGCTATAAACTGCGGGCAAAGCCCAACGCTGCCGCCGCAGAAAATTTCACAAAACGCCTCCAATGAGGCCCTTCCCGATTCTCGTTCGGCATAATCTTTTCACCATTTTAATCACCGTTTCCTTCTCTATAGGTCGACCGAAGCAAAACACCCAACCGCAACGTGAGCCGGAGGAGCCGTTGCACCGGAGAGCCCCACCGCCAGTGAGTTTTGGTTTTTTGTATTTTTTCAACCAACTGAGGCCCCTTAATGTGTTTTCTCATAAAGGTTGATGCAAAATCGGCCAAATTTGGCCAAAAATGGCTAAAAACAGCTAACCTGAGGTGAACCACCGCCGCGGGCGGCAGCACCTTCGCTGGAGCACGGCAGAGCCGCGGTGCCTGAATTCCAGAATTGGCCAAAAATTGGGTCATGAGACTGATTTTAGGTTTTTTGGGATATTTGTAAGTACTTATAGCGCGTTTTAATTTTTTTAAAAAAAATTAGGGAATCTGGAGAATGCTGGTAGGTGCAGTCAACAAGTTTCGCTTTTCGGGCATTGTATTATATAAGAATCCCTCACCCTATTTTCTGTTATAGAATTGAAGTCTAATTAACAATAAATACGATATTTTATTACAATTTAAAAAATGTTCATAATTAATTATGGATTACTAATAGAGTCAGAACTGAAAATTATCTACTATTGTTCTATTGATTGTTTTTACAGTTTAAGTGCATGATAATACCTTATTGATTGATTTTATAGTTTTGAATGCGTGTATTGTTTGTTTTATATGGTTATGACTGAATTAGTAAAAATAGAGGTTAAAAGTAAACGGAAAATTGTGTGAATAAGTGAATGAGTGAAACGGCAGCCTTACTGGATATCCTGAGAGACGGTGGATGGACTGAGTACATAGAAAATCCTACCGTGAATGTTGTCTCATACCGAACGGGGTATCGATACTTGGTAATTTGGTGCTCATACCCGACGGGGTATGGAGATGACCCGCTTCACCCTCAAACCAAACGGGGTATTGAGGTTTAGTAATTTAGTGCTCATACTAGACGGGGTATGGGGACGACCTGTTAATTGAGAATATTAAAGGAAATGGTTCACGCGTAGTGGGGACATCCCTATGAATCCCAATGGATACCAGCAGGCTGATAAAAAAGGATAGTTGTTATTTTGGTTATTTGAATATGAAAGTATAATATGTACTACATTACCGATTACATATGAAATCATGATATATATAATATTATTGTTCTATACGTTATTTTTATAAATCTCGCCATGGTAAGTGGACGGTAAATGGTTTTATTGTTGATAAATGAATTTGTTTAATTAAGAGCTCTATTAGTTGCTTTGATTTTCTATCTACATTCATTTCTGTGTCGGTGAGTAGCGTGATATTCTTAGTGGACTAGTATTGCTCATTCCTTATTTAACCATTTCAGAACAAGATGACCAGGATCCAGAGCCCGACTCACAAGATGGTTGCGAATAAGATGCTAGTTTATTTAATTTTTGTTTATTTCCTTATTTTTTTTGTATTTCTTCCAAAAAGGATAATTCTCATAGCACTATTTGGTACTTTAAGTTATTATGTAAGGAATTTATACCTTAACTATTTATTCCGCTTTCGCACGTAATTCATAATTTATTTCCTTTAGACATTTCGGGGTCGTTACAATAACTATTCCATGTTTAGATGTATTGACAAAGTGATAAGTGTGTACCCATACATAACCATTTCGTGTTCAGGTGTATGAGGAAACAATTTGATCTGCATGCCCTAACCGTTCCATGTTCGGGGGGTAGTAGTGTTTCAAAGTAATTATGTATGTCGTTTTGTAGTCTGGTACATGGAGAACTAGTGATAAGTATATGTACCTATACATAATGTATGGTAACTGATTGATCCTCTATAATAGTGATAAAGTATACAACATGAATCTGTTTTCTGATTTGTCTATTTGTCTTCTGATTCGTATATGTTTTATAAAGATTATATGATATATATTTTGTTGTGTAAAGAAACTATATATTGCGTGTACTATGTCGTGATTTCATAATATTGTTTATTGAGATATTTTATCCCACCCCCTATCACCATTCAGATATTGAAGATACCGTTGCAAAGTGAGCGGTGATACGAGAAAATTTTTTGAAGTTAGACTCTAATATTAAGGTTATGAAGTGTTTAGTAATATAAGTAAGAAAATTTAGAGTTTCGTACATATGTTTATATTTTACATTTAATGAATGTAACTCTTCTACGACTTTTTTATGATTAATAAAGTTAAATATTTTACTTAACTCGAGTTTATGTGATTTAAGTAAATATGCTCCAGTCATTACCCTATAAGACGATGTGTGGTCCATGACAATTTTAATCTTGAGAACCTGTTTTTTTCCAATTGCTTTATGTCTTTAAAATAGACCCATCAATTCTCGTATTTGATTTAATTTAATGGTTATATTTTCTCTTTCATTGCTTTTTACATTCTTTTTTTTTTTAAGGATATAACCCGATATCTTTAATTATTTTACCCTTTGTACAATGATATGTAACTAGGAAAACCTTCTCTTTAATTTCAGAATGATGTTTGATATGCTCAATACTTATGTGTGAACTTTGTTTTCTCTAATATAATTTATGCATAGAGAAAGTACCCCCCCATTTGATAAAATTTTCTATATATATGATTATGAATTGAATCTATTTTTTAGTAACAGTATCACTTGATTTTATCAATTCATAAATGTTTTTTTTTTTTGTTAATCTCGCTCTAACTTGAAAATTCATTTTATAATTTCACTATATATTTGGTACATTTTTATCATTATGCTCACTTGTGAATAGTTAATGTTTTGAAACTTCAAAGTATCTTATAAAGATATATTTCTTTTCTCTTTGTCACACCTTACTAGATTTACTTAGAGAATTGTGCTAAATATTTACTAACTTCAAAGTTTTAAGTTATGCATGTCAAACCTTAAGTTTCTTTATAGCCATAGAGGGTTGATCGTTAACTAATTAAAAAGTATCTGATTAAATATATATAATGCAATTAGCAACTCGTTTCCCTATAAAGAGACCATCAAATCTATTTACATCATTATAGGCTTAAACTATTTAAAGAAGAGTCTTAACATTTTTTTTTTTTTAAAGATGTCTCATCCTTTTGAGACAAATTATAATATTAACAATTCTTTAAACTGTTCAAATATGTATTCATAACCACAATAACTTCACCAAGCTTCAGGCTTGCACTCATGCTCATAAGACCACATATATTCATATGGTTTAATTGCAATTGATCTTTTCTTTACTCTTATAGTTTTATCACTACACTTTCTTGTTGACTTTTTTACTAGATGAGATTCACAACTAAACAAGTTAAGTGAGCCCAACAATTTAAATCTTGCAAACCTATTCAGTTTATCATATCTAATATAGCATGCCATAATTTTCATCAACATTCACATTGCTAGAAAAAGTAATCAACTGAAAACAATTATTTACATTGTCAGTTGTATTTGATTCATAACCAAATATCTGAGATCTTGAGCCGATATATCTACAATCATAACGAGTAGAACTACAAAAGATCTATAAATTCATACATCTAGACCTGTAATGATTCACACCCAAAAATCATAAATAAAAAATTAATATCTATATAACCATAAATTAATCCCAAATTAAGAAGAAGGATTACAAAAACCAAGTTTTATTTGATATTTGAAGCAAACAAAACATCACTTAATAAGGAGGGGCATACCATCACAAAGTAAATTAAGTATGTAGAAACATAAATTATAAAATTAGTAAAATTATAAAAAGAGCACAGTTAATTAACTTCTCCTATGCACATATATTTTATCAATAGATTATATATTTGAATGACCAGAACTAATCATGAATGCATTAAAATTCAAAATACATTTAAAATAATTAAATTAAGTATTTTAGTTAGTTTTATTATTTCACATTCATTAATATTAGATAATGCTTATTTTTAATTATTATTATTTTTTATTGATATAATTAGCCAATTATTATTTAAAAATAATAAACCCAACTATATTTATTTACAAATCTAACTATTTTTTTTTTCCAACTTTCATGTGATCTTTTTTACCTATTTAGAACAAAACACTATTTCAAAATTTTACATAAAATCAAAACGATTAACTCTGGCCATATAATCTACAATTTTATTAAATTTAATACAAGCAAAATAGAAAGTTTAGTGGTATAAAAATATATAGACTTTTGATATTTTAAGTGACTTTGCATGGTAAATTCAAAAGAAAAAATTAGTTTAAAAAAAAAAAACAAAGAAATGATTGAAACCTTTTGAAAATTTCAAAAAAAATCAGTTATGTAATTCCAAGTTTTTAGCAAAAGCTGATTTGGGAATTTCTTTTTGAGAATCAAATCTCTTCTTTTTCTTTTTTTGTCTGAATTTGCAATTTGATTATCTGCTTTTAATATATTCAAAATTTACAAATAATAAATCAAATGTTTAATCCGACATCGTTATCACCCAATAAATAAGGAAAATTAACCAAAAAGAAATTTGTTTTTTTTTCCCCCAAATACTCTGTACGAAGATTTTAAAAAATTATGAGTTTCTTTCTTCTCTAACAGGCGAGAGAGATCATAAGATCTGAGCAGTAAAAATCCACACAATTATTATATGGTCAAAACTGAAAATAGCTAGAATTTCAATATAAAATTTGATTAACATTAATTTAACCACCAAATCTGGTATAATCCGACATCACTTTGTCCAAGGTAAGAGCGGGAAGAAGACGATTGACAGATCTGGATCGCGCTCCAAAAGGCCCCAAGAACTTCTAGTTTCGCGGATCATTGATTTCAATTTTCAAGTAAGTCTCTTCTACATTGCTATTTTCTGTTTCGGCTTCTCCTTTTTGTGCTTCGATTTAATGGCAGAGAGTTGATTGGAGTTTGATACTTATTGCTTCCATAATTTTTATTTGTTTGATATGAAATCTTTTGTACTCGAGATTTCCTTGTTTGTTACTTCACTTGTTATTTGCTTTGCGTGTAAGACGAGAAATTAGAGACCATTCCTTTTTGTTTCCTTTCGTAACACAGTTTTATGGATCTGCTCAGTTGGCACCATTTTTCATTCGGGTTAATGATTGATTTTTCTAAAGAATCTAATAAAGGAGTTGAAATCGCGTTAATACAAATACTTGAATAAATGGAAGTGGCAATTTCCATATTGTTGGCATCTGATATCCGGCTTTGGTCTGGATTCTGCTCGCCAAGGAAAAAGATATTTGGTGTTGAAGATTTTGTGGGTATTATAGATTGGAACGGTCAAGAAGCTGCTTGGTTTTAGTTTGTATGGGGGTTTTATTTTTAGAATGCAGGTGTCATTTCAGGTTCTCTTTAGTTTGGATTGAATAATAATTCATACTTAGCATTGGCTGAAATATATAATGGAAAAATCTCAAGGGAACTTGTAGGTCTGCTTGAATCCCATGGGTGGTAGGCAATCTCCCAGCAGAGCGTGCAGTAAATCCACATTGTAGACATTTGATTTGGAAGTCATGGAATCATATCTTGGAAATCTTATGTTGATTTTATCGGTCAGTTGTTAGACACTGTTTGTCCACCATTACTTTCAAATTTAAGACAAGAGGACCATGGCATCTAAAAATATCAGTTCAGGTCCTAGTGACATAACCATGATGCTGATATGTGCCGGGAATATGTATGTGTTTTGGAAAGCATAGGCACATCCAATATCTCTCGGTAAAGAAGATTTCCTCGCATCACATTTATTTGGCAAACTGAAAGAACAAATTGATATAATTGTGTAAACTTCAAGAGCTACCTGAAATTATTGAGCTCCAATGTTCTTTGGACTCATGAATTTACCGTCATACCCATTTCATAAGACATGTCATTAGTATGGGTATCTGGTCTGTGTCTGAGAATTGGTGTGCACGTTGAACTCTTGATGATATAGAACTAAAGGTTATGAAATATGAGAATATGAAGATAATGATTCATACGCCTAGTTTAGGAGTTGAAAAAACATTTTTTTTAATGTCTAAATTTTGGATTTTTCTTTTTTTTTTTTTTGGGGATAGATACTCAAAATCACGTAATATTATTAATTTGTATCAATTCTTTTCTTTTCATTTCATTACAAATATGAATCTATATATTTCTTTAGTGCTCAAGACTATTTTGTTATATATACAACATCATCTTTGCTTTCTACAGGCTTATTTTAGTTTTATTTTTTTCCATATCAAACATTCTAAGTGCCTGTACCCAATTTTTTGGGTCTTGACTCTTATAGACAATCTCCATATCTTTGAATATAGAAATTGTTGAGTTGCACAAGTAGATCCATACCCAGACAAACACCTTGCACCAGGAAGTAGCTTAGTTGAGCTCAAATCTAGGAATAAGAATGTGTAGGAGAGTTCTAAAGTGAAATAAGCCTATGTGTTTTTGGAAGTCAAACAACCTTTGCTGTCGTTAACTGAAGCACGATCTTTCTAATCATTTATCTCCCCTGAAAGGACATCCAATAATTCGATATGTTTAATAGGCTCCTAAGTGAATTAATTGAACTAGGTGCTTAATAGCTGGCTGACATTTTTGTCTAAAGTTTGTTACCCATGCAGGCATTACACATTTTTATTCTATTTACGACCTACACCGAAGCCTATTATTGATATGTTTATTCTCTAGGAATTTCTGACAGATTTTATGTTTCAATATAATCACATATTTGTGTCAAGGTTAATTCTAATGGAATAGTATAGTCGTTTTACTTTGAAATAAGCGAGTAAGTGTGAGTAGTTCAAAAGGAATAAGATTTTTCAATTTTGGGACATCCATATAAATGTTCTCCATTAATATGACTGGATTTTCTTTTAAAAAAAGAAATTAATATGACAGCATTTTGCAGACTTAAATAAATATTAACCATGTCAATGTCACGGAGGCCAGTGAATCCTACACGACGGCTTTCTGATGGTGGAAGCATCCCTTTTGTTGGATCCATGAATTCGAAATCACGTTCATCACCTCTACTATCTATCGGGCTTTTAGTTGTGGTACTCTTGCTTCATATTTGTTTCTCCTCTATTGTAAATAATCATATGTGGCTGACTAAACATTTTATTTCCAAAGGCCGGATCCCCCAATTTATGTCTATATTTAATTGTTGATACAATTTCTTAATCAAGTTACTCTAAAGTTTAAATGTAGTAAATGTTGATTAGATTGTTTCTGGTAAAATTTCAGGGTGCAATTCTTCTAATCGGATATTTATATAGTGGGCCAGGTTTGTCTTTTGTCTTTCAGCTTGAACTTTAGGTGCTGCCGAGAGGGGGTAAAAAAAAGAGGAAAACACTATGGAAAATGACAGTTTTGCTATCTTCATCACTAGAACTTCGTCTTCCTTTTTTCTGCCTTGGCCTTACTTTGTTGCATTTGTTACAGGTGGACTTAGTGTTGGAAAAGGAGCTTTAAGTAAAATTGAAGGTAAATATTTATTGCCTCTTTTTGTTATTGTAATTTAATACTTGCAAAGTTGCAGTCTATGAAATGTTACATTTGCTAATCCCCTGTGATCTTTCAAGTACAGTTTGCAATTGTGGTTTTACTAATAGGTTACATGTAAAATATATTCTCAATAGTCTGGTATTCTGTTGGCCATTTTTCAAGGTTATCCAGTTACACTTATTATTATTATTTTTTTTTTTGGAAAAAAAAGTGTAAAGTGTATTGATGTAGGTGCTAAGGGGGCGCCACTCAAGTACAAAGATAATTACAAATTAGTAAAGATATCTATAATGGCACCAAAATCGTAATAACAATCAAGGTTGTGCCCTAAAAAAATGGAACCAAAAAGATGTAGCCATTTATTCTTGATGTTGGCAAAATTTGCTTCAATACCCTCGAACAATCTGTTGTTTATTTCCTTTCAAATGACCCAGAAGATTGTCAGCGGTACTAAACGGTAGTATCTATTTTTAGAAGCAATGCCCCCCCAAGCAAGGAGTTCAGTTTTTATGGAACCAGCCATTACCCATTGAATACCCACAAGGCTGAAGATGTCATTCCAAAGGCTGTAGGTGATGGGGCACCATAGTAGTAGGTGACTGCAAGTTTCAGAGTTGATTTTGCACATTAAGCATCTATTGGCCAACTGAAAACCCCTTTTCATGAGATTGTCCAGAGTCAATATTCTTTCTTTTGTTGCTTCCCAAGCTAGAAAGGAAATTCTGGGTGGTGCGTTTGTCTTCCAGATCATTTATAAAGAAATAGATTGTTATTTCAGCATGAAAATTCTCCAGGTGCTTAAACATAGAGGTGACAGAAAAGTTCCCATTTTTGCATAGCTTCCAATTGAGTCTGTCATCGCAGTTGCTCAGATTGATAGTACAAAGGAGTTGGGTTATCCAGTTACACTTATGATTATCTTTTATTTGTTATGCAACTGCGAAGGAACCAATAATTATGAATTTGTTATCTTAATTCTTGTAATTTGAGGGTTCACTTGTAGGCATTTTTCTTCCTGTTCGGTACAGTGGTTACGGGAAAGTATCCTATATGGAAAAAGATGTGTTATATTTTCGGAGAAGGATATTATATGAAGTATGCCAAGAGGATTTGTTCCATTAAAGTTATATGAGGCTTCTAGACTCTACCTTGTCTTTCCAATTCTTTAGTGCTTGTATGCTCTCCTCTTGTTAGGGTCTCTTTTTCATTCTAGACTAGGTCTTCGTTTGTTGAACCTGACCACTGTGACATGACAACCATTGCAAGCTGACTACTACCTAATATGTTATAAACAGCTAATGAGATACTATTACCATTACAAACTCTATGTCAGAAATACATGTCATGTTACCATGAATTCTGTTGTGGACTATTTCAATTTTGAACATCTTAATTTCCAATATAGCTTCGTGACACTTTTTTCTGCATGGTTTTACATAAAGATGAAAGTAAATGAAAGTAGAAACAAAAAAACAGGAGTGAGCAATTATGGACCACGTCCAATGAGTGACTTCTAATGGTTAATCAATTATACTGTTAGAAAGGTCAAAGGGTTACCACTTGGTCTTTTTTTTTCTAATCCGTGCCTGTCTTCTCATGTTAATGCTCCATGAGAATAAAACTTATTTGTTCATTAGAAAGAGTTTTAGGTATCTATCTTGTCTTTTTTCTTTTTGTAATTATGGCCTTAACATATAGTAGTGTAACATGAATTTTCTTGAAACAGCTTAGGTAGGTTTCAAGTTTGGAAACAAAGGGAGTGAAAATTGCATACTGTAATAGTGAATTTTTGACGCTATATTCATGAACATAATATTGTCAAAATGTTATTAATGATATCAAAATTTGTTTACTTCTGTAACTTTGCTCTCTTGTGCCAAGTTCATAAGTATGCCCATCTGTCTGATTGGAACTTAAATTGATATATATTTTCTTTTTTGTAAACATGTTTAGATGTGCTTTATTTCAAGCTTTTTTCATGTGGAACTCTTATGCTATATTTCAAATTCTTATTTTGCCAAAATTACTATTAGCATGCAAATTTATCAAAAGAGATCTACAATCTACTACTTAATTTTATTGCTTCATTTATATATATGGATACAGGTGGTGTATCATGCACGCTAGAAGTCCAGAGGGCATTACCTGTTTTAAAGAAGGCATATGGTGACAGTATGCATAAAATATTGCATGTGGGTCCAGACTCTTGTTCAGTGGTATCACAACTGTTAAAAGAGGAGGATACTGAGGCCTGGGGTGTAGAACCGTATGACTTAGATGATGCTGATGCGAATTGCAAGAGTCTTGTACGCAAAGGCATTGTGCGTGTGGCTGATATCAAGTTCCCTCTGGCATACCGTGCAAAATCGTTTTCTTTAGTTATAGTATCAGATGCTGTGGATTACTTGTCTCCAAAGTATCTTAATAAAACTCTTCCAGAATTGGCAAGGGTATCGGCTGATGGCCTTGTCATACTTGCTGGTAAATGCCTTTTCATTTCAATTCTCCAATTTGATATCACATTTAAATTTCTTTCAGTTGTTTGTTAATATTTATCCAGGCGATCATTTATTAGTTTCTTCCTGATATGTCATTCCATTTCTAGGTTACCCTGGTCAGACTAGAACCAAAGTTGCGGAGCTATCCAAATTTGGTCGTCCAGTAAGTGATAGCTGTATTTTACTTAAGTCATTTCAGGGTTACTGTTGGGTGAAATAATTGGTTAGTGTATGCATTATTGTATTAGTTAACTGGGTTCAAAAGAATATCTGAAGTGGATCTGATCAAAATGCTAATTCCTGCCTACAATGAAAAAAAGAAAAAAAATGTTGGTTTAACTTAAAAACATGTAAGTGGAAAATGGAAGCTAGGAAATAAGTTACAGTAGTTTGATGTTGAGTTGATAAACTGCCGCCGAATATAGGAATTCATTATAATTTACTTGTTTGTTTGGCCAACTGTCTACGTTTACTTCTGTTTTTGATTTTAGAAAGCAGATGTTTGATCAAACATTAGAAATAAAACTGCCTTTAAGGGAAAACAAAAATTTGTTTTTGAGAAATAAAAAATAAACAACTGAAAATAGATGCTTATAAGATATGATTTGTGTTATTTGAGATGCATAATATTTTAATTAGTCTATTTGTTAATTTTATATTTCACTAATTTATCAATTTAATATTTTTAGAACATACAATATTAATTTTTTTTTTTTTTTTTGAAATAACAAGTATAAAGGTTTCATTAAGTATAGGCACTATGGGGTGCCAACCTATATACAAAATTATTTACAAAACTGTAAGAATATCAATTAATTCTCCTAATTCTTCCATATGGTTTAATTCTATATCCTTTACATATTGGGCATATCTTGCCTTCTATTCTACATATTGATTCTTTACCCATCACTTTTTGCTTCTTGATTCTATGCTACATATTGGTCATATCTTGCTTTCTAGTAGCTGGTGGAATCCCATAACCTTTTCTCTAAGTATCAGCCACCATGGCTTGCTTTGGAATGCCTGTAATTTCTGTACCATCTTACCACGCACCAATCTTATCGGACATGTTTCTTGTTTCGTACCCTAATAAATGTTCAATTAATCCCTTGGTTATGCGATAGAAGTTAAGAATCTTTGTCCATTCCCTGCTGGGATCTTGGATGCCTAATAAGCTAATATTACGTTTTATTAGATTTGGACTTTAGTAATGGAATGTTTCTAATCAAGTTTCAAATTTGATTGTCTTGTCTTTATTAATCGAATATTTCATTTTCTTGGTAATAGGCTAAATTGCGGAGCTCATCTTGGTGGATAAGGTACTTTCTTTCGACTGGGTTAGAGGATAATGAAGCTGCTGGAAAGAAGTTTGAACAGGCTTCAGTCAAGAAGACATATGCGCCAGCTTGCCAAATTTTCCATCTAAAGTCCTTGAGTTGAGAACCCCGCTTGTCATATCTCTCAAGTTGTTAACAAGCTTATTGGTGAAAGGCATGCCAACAAGTATCTTCAGCACCGGAAGGGTAAATTATATATTGTGGTAAATTATATTGCTTCTTTTTGAGACTGTAGATCCTTCTGTTAAATTTATTCAGGGAATGAAGAAGGCAGCAAACTCCTGCCCTGATATATTCCTTTTTTTTTTTTGTTTTTTTGTTTTTTTGAGTAAGTCTGTGATGTATTCTTTTGAATGTAGGTTTCTCTTTTCCCTGCATATCTTTTTTTTTTTTTTTTTTTTTTTTTCCCCCCTATCTTTTATAGATGCAGAGAGGTAGAACTTTTAGCACTTTCTCAAGGCCCTTTTCTAATTTTTGAGGTATAACCATATATCATTTTGTTTTACTTCCTTTTATAGTAAAAATTATTCATTGTCAATACACTCAGCAGTTGGATGTTTGTACGAGCTTCTCTAATCTTGATCTAACAGTTTCTATATTTTAAGGGTATATTTAGATGGAGGGCGAAGGGCAGAAAAGGGAAAGGACTATTGGAGGATACATTTTAATCTCTCCAGTTCCCCCAACCCTACAAATAATTTTCTTAATTGTTGTCAAATGAAAGTAGAGTAAAAAAAAAAAAAAGAAAAATTCATACACATGGCTATTGATAGAATGAGAGAACTACTAAAATGAGTCTTAAGCCCCAAAAAGTGAAAGAACAAATAAAACCAAAAAGTTATGTCTAGTGAACAATCTCATGTTATCTTTTGGCTGTTTCTGAATCAAAATAAAAATAAAAATTACAGACATATCAAATGTTGAAGCATGATCATAATTAATAGCAATTAAAATTTAAATGAGCTCGTTATCAAAAGGTTTCATGAAAGGAAATTAAGTTCTTGTCTTCGTTCCATCAAGAAAAAAGAATTTACTATAAAGATGCACAAGTAATATTGTTAATTTTGAATTTTGTTTTCCAAATGCTTTCTTCTCTCTAAATGGCTCTACTGTAAGTTGCTAATCGTTCCAGATTTTCACTTTCCCAACACCCAATTTCTTAGCCGTCTCCAATCTGAAGCGGCTGATTCAGTTGCAGCCATGTTTGTTTGCATATGCTTTATATGAGGTTTTGTAAACTTCTAAGGGATACAACCCCATATCTACAGCTCACTGAGGACCCTCGACGCCACTGAGCTACTCATGCTCCGGCCCGTTGGCGTCGCGAAGGAAGCGACATGGCCACGACGCCAGCAAAGAAGCTTTCTCTCTTCCCTCTTGTCTCTCTTCTCTGCTTCATCTCCATCTTCTTCGTTCTCTCCTTCTCTAGAAACGCCTCTGTCCCCTCCCTACTCCTCAACCGTCCTCGCGAAATTTTCCGCCCCAAATCCGACAGTCACGTTGCTGGATCCGATCTGAATGAGGATCCCGCGGGCTCATGCGACCTCTCGGATGGTTCGTGGATCTATGACCCGGTCACTGGATCCCAGAGGTACGATGGTAGCTGTAAGGAGATATTCAAAGGATGGAACTGCGTTTTGAATAATAAATCTAACGCACTAGAGATCGCGAAATGGCGCTGGAAGCCTAAGGGCTGCCGTCTTCCGCCGTTGGATCCCCTGAAGTTTCTACAGACTTACAGAGATATCAGCATTGGTATTCTTCCCCTCTCTCTCTCTCTCTTTCCATTTATATACAATTTGAAGATCGTGGGCGTTTGTATGTGTGTATAGATAAGTTAGCCTGTTGAAGGAGCCCTAAGATTTCCTCGATATATTGAAAACAAAAAATTAAGCTCAATTATTCAATTTTTAAGTTGCTGTGAGTATTTCTGGGGAAAGGGAGATGAATTTTATTGAGGATTTCAGTTAGTAATAGCTCAGCTGAACTGCAAGCTTATTTCAGTGGATTTAAATGATAATTTTTTACTTTTGAAGTTAAACTGAGGTATTAGTTTGGTTGCTATGTAAGATTGGGAGAGGATATTTGGAGCAAATGAATTATTTTGGAGGATATTATTTGAAAACATTAGTTTTATGAAGTTATTTTTATGTAGGATACCCATTAGCGGTAAACAATGATTTAATTTCTCTTGTAATCCCGCATATTTCATCTTCACATTTTATCATTTTTTTTTGGAATTTGAAATACATTGTTCCAGTTCCACTTGTTCTTATTTGGAATTGAATTTAATTGTTTTATATTTGAACTAATTAAAATTTCCAAATGAATTCCGAAAAATAGTTTATTGTTGCAAATATACCTCAAAAGATTTATTTTTCACTATTTTTGATGTCAGAACATGCAAGATTGAAAGGTAATTTAGTTGTATATTACTTGCTATAATTTTCAGTTCCCAGTTCCCATGCTGCCATTTTTGGGTGGTTTCAACAAATTGTCCTTGTATCGACAGTGGATATTTTTCTGTTTATCTCTGTTGTTCTGGTATTTGTAGGCCTTATGAATATTCAACAGTGCAGGATTTGTTGGTGATTCCTTAAACAGGAATATGTTTGTTTCTCTGTTCTGCAGTCTGAGACATGCTTCAGATCAACTGAAGAAGTGGCGCCCGCCCGGGGCAGATCGTGGTTTTACATTTCTTCAGTACAATCTTACCATTGCATATCATCGAACAAATCTTCTGGCACGATATGGTAGGTAAGTTAGGTTTGCTATGGAAGTTGGATTAACTTCTATTACTGGATTATCTTTTCTGAATTTTCTAAGTTTCATGGAAACTGGTGTAGAGAATTTCTTTGCATGAATGAGGTAACTAATGTTTTACTCTCATGTGGCAACATTGATTTTGGTTCAGATCACTTTCTTTTTTCTGCTGAATTCAGATCACCTTTCTTAATATGGAGGGGAGATGAGCACATAGGTTTTCATATTGCGAAAATATCAAAGAATTGCATGGCAATTTAATAATGGATGTGGAATCCGACCTTTATAGAATACTTAGCCTCTGCGTGGTTGAATATGAAAAATAACTTATTCTCCCGTGGTAGTCATCCTAGAAAGAACATCCCATGAAGTTGTGGGGAAAATTGAGGTTGAAGGACCCAAATTAGGCTTTGATGTTTGGGATTCGATGGTGTTGAAAGACTGCTTCATGATATTTTGGAAAAGAAATGCTTGATTTAATAGTTGGGCCCAATGAAGGCTAGGTTTCACCAAGAGTAAGCTTCATATAGGTATCTTCCAAATCTTTCTTCCTTTGTTCCGAGAGAAGTAAGATGGTTTTCTAAAATTCCTTTCTATTGAAAGAAGACTTTGAGCATTGACGTATTTTACTTACTCTTGTTTTTATTGATGAAAACAAATCATGTAGAATACCAGATCCTGAATGAAGTTGTACTTTCTATTCATCCATGTAAACAATCCATCATTCTCAACCAAAAGGTAACTTTAGTGAATAACCAAATATAACACTCAAGCAAAGATTCAAGCTGTTAATGTTTCTTATTTATGTCCCTTCTAGAGCCTGTTAAGGCGTTACTCGTTAGCATTATTTATTTGTTATTTTTTATTAATGGGAACAAATAATTTGAGATATTAGATAATGAGGAAGTTAACCATTAACAAATGCATTTAAAAATTGATACAAGATTGTTTGGAAGCTGGACAGTGAATGTGAATTGAAGAATATTTTTGTTGAGCATGCACATAGAGAGGGAAATGGAAAAAGGGAATGGATAGTGAATGTGAACAGGAACTTTAATGATTGGGATATTGAAGAATATAAAACATTATTACGTTTTCTATCCATGGTGCATGTTAATGACAATAGGGACCAGATTGTTTGGACGCTGAAGAAGAATAGGGAGTTCACTGTTAAGTCTTTTTATAATCGCCTGGTGGGAGGAGATGTAGATGGGGTAGTCCAGTTTCCTGCTAATCAGATTTGGAAAGTGAAAGCACCTCCAAGAATTGCTTTTTTTGTTTGCATTGGAAGCTGGAAGAGAATGCATTTTGACCATTAATAAGCTTATGAGATGGGGTAAAATTATGGTGAACGGGTGTTATTTATGCAAGAAAGCTGTTGAGTCTTGCAATCATATTCTTCTTTGATGCCCGGTAGCATATGACTTATGGACAATGGTTTATGGTTTGTTGCAAATAAACTGGGTTATGGTAGGTACGGTGAAGGATGATATTTGGGCTTTGAGGGATTATATAAAAAGAAAAAATTTGTAAAACTTATTCCGTCAACTATTTTTTGAGTGATCTGGATAGAGAGAAATAGTAGACCTTTTGAGGGGGATAGAAAGTGAGATGTTTAAAATTAGGGATAGATGGTTACATTATTTTGACTCATTGATGTTGGATCATGATATTTATAAGTTGGAGGATTTTGGGAATGTCATATACATACTAATTGAATTATAAATATCTTATAAATAGGTGGTACTCCCGTGGTGTCTTTATTTTAATATACTTGGTATACTTTTTATTTCAAAAAAAATTTGATACAAGAATCTCTAGTTTTTAAATGGTGGGTATCAATGCTTGATGTGATCCAAGTAACAACTCTATCTCTATTAACATCTTAAACAATATTCATCAGCAGAAGCAAAGTTCAGCATCTGTTCAGTGTTTGCTTGAATTACACTGAACCTAGATTTGCTATGTTCTTCTATGATGCAGGTGGTCAGCCAATGCTGATGGTGGTAAGCTGGAAGCTCTAGGATATAGAGAGGGTTATAGAGTTGATGTTGACATTCCAGAAAGCACCTGGGCAAAGGCTCCAAGTTTCCATGATATACTTATCATAAACACAGGACACTGGTAAATTTTACTTTATATTTTGAAAATCTAAATTGTTGATGGCATCTTCCAAAATTTGTGATGTTTGTTTATTGCTCTTTTGGCTACACGATAGTTGAAAACATTTCTGTTTAGCTTGATTCTTCAGTTGTAAACAGCTTGGACTATGGATTCTTGATAATGCAATCATCGTTCCTTTGTTTTTCTCACACGTACAATTATCTAAAGGCTGTTTTCTAGTTCTTTTGTTTGGGGATAACTGTTTTTGGTGTTGTCTTATTAATAGGTGGTGGGCTCCTTCAAAATTTGACCCAGTAAAGTCACCCATGCTTTTCTTTGAAAATGGTCAGCCTGTGATCCCTCCTATACCCCCTGACGCTGGCCTTGATAAGGTCTTAAACCACATGGTATGAGATGCAGTTTTCTTTTTTATTTTGAACTGTTTTTTTCTTGGAGTCCCTTGATAAGATCTTGTATTGGAAGTTTTTGATAGATCAAGATTAGAATCTTTAATTGGAAAAAGTTACATAGAATATCATATGTTTGGATGCATGATGTAATGATGTGTGCTAAAAGAACTTCATGAGAAAGCACAATTGTGAACTAAAAAAAGATGGGAAGATGGTCTTCTTTAGTTGCAAAGCTTTATCCAGACTATCTATATATTAGCATTATTATCAGTAACACTGTTTGATAGATCTGTATCTGAAAAAATGCTGCCATTATGTTTTATTTTACTTGTTTATATTTGTTTTTTTGTATTTCAGGTGTTAAGAGTATTTATGTGAGCCTTGAAAAGCAATAGACTTGGAATTGGCTTTAAGTCATTGTGATTATCTATATAAAATTATAGAACATGCAGAATTTGAATTATAGGGAGATAATATGAATTTAACTGTTTGAATTCATATTTTATTTTAGGGTAGATTTCATAACATGCCACGTATATTTATTATGTCTTGACCTAAGATCCATGTTTTCAATTGTATCTTTTAGGACCTATAATTTTTAAATGTCCCAAATTAGGATCAGTAACTTTTGACAATGACTTTCACATCCTTCACACATTTCCCTGGAATGATTAATAAGCTTGATTTTTAGTTTCTAACTAACAATGATTAGATTAACATGTGTATGAAGAAGTACAAGTTACATCAATTTTCAGCTCAACTTATAAAAACACAGACTGGTAAGTCCTACTTTTGATACATTTAAAAAGTTCAAATTATAAAAATATACAATTAGAAGTATTTTAGGTCCTGTTTTGAGATAATATTCGGTATTTTATGTAATTTGTTTTATATTTAGCTTGTCGTGTGCTTCGTGAAATAGATTTTCTAAAGATTTTCTAGGCAATGATTAATTTCATGGTTAATGAAAATGCTCAGTATATTGTTCAATAGGCATGTTGTATAAGATGTTTATTTATTGGTATTCTTTTTCATTTTTCATGACATAGATACTATTTATGGGGAAAACTGTGCGATCAGGTGCAATCAAGTTTTTCCGAACCCAATCACCCAGACATTTTGAGGGAGGTGACTGGGACCAAGGTGGTTCTTGTCAGCGGCTGCAGCCTTTATTACCGAATCAGGTAATGTTCAACATTTGTGTCAATATTGATCATTTGTAATTGTTCAATGCTACCTGACTTTGGATGAAATTATCTGTCAGTGTCATTTATGTCATAAATTTCCAGCTGCAATATTGCTTTGACCTAAGAATTTTGATTCTTTTCGTATCCTAAGTTGAACATCTCTTCTCTTTTGATAAATATTG